CGTTATGACCTACTCGCCCGGTTATGTCCGAACAGCACAGGTAAATTCACCATGAGTGTTATCCATCATTATAGACACCGCTCATGTGTGTCAAGAGTTCTGCAACTGATAATTGTCGGAACGCAATTGTCGTACGTGATTTGTGATCCCGGCTGTGATGGTGCAATCGCAATTCATTTTGGCGCTCGCGAACAGCATATCTGATTGTTTGCTGTCTTGCGAGCTCGGCTACTCTAGTGGTGTGTCGGTTGACCCGAGTCTCAATAGCGCAATTGACGTGACCTCGAATGGGAATATGTGTCGCTGTGCTTGTGCGCTGCAGCCAGTGATTGGCTAATTGCGTCAGGTCGAACATCAGATATGGCTTGTTCTAAAGGAAATCTCATAAACATCTACGAGAACGAGTGTTTATGTCACAGTTTCTGTGACACAAGGCTTTTTTCGGAGCGAGATTCTTTTATAAGCTATATTTAAAAAGCTAATTGCATTAACGCGGTGGTGGACATTACGGGCTCAGCGTCCCGTCGCAGGAGATTACGCTTATTGGTGAAGATTTGTCACGGTGTCCCAGTCAATTGCAGTCAATGGTAATGAGTGTGACCTGAAAGGGATGATCTGGTGGTGTGGTGTTGTCTGTGACAGCGTCTACCTTAATATCTGAGAGGAATTTGGACTGATTGCCAGGAACTGCTAACCGCGCATGGCCAGGAAACTGTTAGCCCGCATGTGATTTTTTGCAGAAAAGTAATGAAGTGCATTGCTGAGGGTTTCAATGAAGAAAAACTAACGGTGTTTGGATTACAGTGTGTATGTTTATGCAACATTAGCCATTTATGAACCGTGTTCAGGTGCCGAAATACGTTCTGTGTGCACTGAAGCTGGAATGTTTGCGATCCGGGCTCGTCGCAAGGTAGCAACAGAAAAGGACTTTTTGGAGGCAATCAATAAGGTAATCTCATTTTCTCATGATCCAAGTTATCTGATACCTTTTCGGCAATCACGAATTGTAGTCATGATCATGCAGTAGTCAAAAATTGCAAATACCAGATGGGGTCGTGTTCAACAACTTTTCGAAATTCATTTCTTATTTTATTTCCTATTATATTTAGTTTGTAACAATAACCATCACCAGCCACCTACGACGACAATTTTTTCCACCCAGACCTGGATTGACTTAAAATTTTATTCATTGTTACACTTCAAAACTTCGGTTGCCCCTTTCGAACAGTGTTGTCCTGGCATGGGAATGTCTGAAATAAGGCTGGACAAAATTTCCTTTTTTTTGGGAGTTTCTTACTTTCAAAAATGGAGCTTTTGGAAACGGGATATCCTTCCGGCTGATTAGGATGACGTGGTCTATATTTGCATGAGTGAGAATATTAAAAAAAATCTTTTTTCATACTTTTTCATACACTGAAATTAGTATCCCGTACAATATATCTTCTTACGAACCAAAGAACTTCATATCTAGCATTCAGTGGTCTCAATTTTTTCTGATTTCAGGTGATTAAAGGGTATGCGAAGTTCAGTGCAACACCGAGATATCTTACCCACAACTAAGGATGTGAAAATCGTCGACCAATGTATATTTATACTAAATTATAACTGTCCACCATGTCATCAATCCTGAGTGATCGATTTCACAATCGATTTTCTATGAAAATCGCGAATAAAGGCTTGATAAATTGCATGTTAACGTTGTACATTAGGGCCACACCACGCCCTTCGAAGCTGGCTGTTTCGTGGTGCAGAATACTGTAGGGATATAATGTTTGGATGCACGCACAGAGAATGAATAGAGAGCACCCGGTTTGGTTCCTAGCTTTAGCTGAAATCAAAGGTTACTAGTCGGTTGTGTCGCTTACCATCTTTCATGCCTGAGCAAATGGCCACACCAGCCGAACACTGGTGCTGTTAATTTGGTTGTGAGTAGGTGCAATTGTGAAATTATGTCAATCATTCTACTGGATCATGGCGATTTCAATCATGCACGGTAACAATGAGGGCTGCGACTTGATGCAGAAGCTGTGAAGCAATTTGATCACTTACTGCACCTCGTCTTAACCCTTACCCCAGTTGTAAATTTTCAAAAATCTGTGCAATTTCAAGGTAGTGATAAAGTAGAAGAGTAGGTCAGGTACTAGACCATTTCAGGGTTTTTGTCCATTTCATTTCGGATGGTAGCCGTTTATTTTTTTTATTTATGTGGGTCAGATGGTTTTGTGGTGACGTTGAGATCGTCTTGTCCTGAGGAGGAAGTCCTTATTTACCGAACAAGGAAATGTGACCCTAATGGACCACCTGCGGTGAGATCCCAGGCGTTGGATGGACGGAAGCGACGACATCGATCTAATAACGGCATCAAAGGGGTACCGGTTCACATATGCGCAACCTGGAGAAGTAACAAGATTAAATCTCCGTCCTTTCCAACGGCAAATCCGTCATAGCGGTAGGTGAATGCTAGCAAATTTTTATTATCAAGAACCGGATTATAGCTGTGCCATTGGCTTTGCTGCTGAGGAAGTGCTCAAGAATGCCATACTTCTATCACGATACCCTTGTACAGTACCCACAACAAGAAAGTATAAGAATATAGTAGAACTAAAATAAAATAATAAAAACGTAGTATTTTTACTTTTACAACATTATACGATTCTGTGGTTACCAGCTTCAATGTTTGACATGTAACGCTTTGTACATTGGAGAAACTGGCAGACAGTTAGGAGTACGAGTGAGAGAACACCTGGCTAGCAAAAGAAGAGAAAGCTTGATTGCACCGCTTAGCAAGCATAGAAGGGAAGGTCATGCTGGTTGTGAATTTGAAATCAAGTGTACAATACTGGCCTACGAAAACGACATTGGTGCAAGGAAAACCCTCGAAGCTTTCTATATACGGCAACGTAATCCTTGTATGAATAACAGAAATGAATGCATCTCCATAACTGCTGACTTCTTACCCTATATCCCCCTCTGTGAACTAGGATAATGAGAACGTCATGCACTGCACGTACACTCTATATAAGCAATGCACGACTGGTTGTCTCATTTTATTTTACTGTAGCTGGAGACCATCAAGGGAAGCTGCTGATCCAGAAGCGGTGACGCTGGTGGAGTCAAGGTAGGTGACACATTCCTGGGGTTTTCACTCCTTGATTCATTAGCTTGGGTGCCACTTGGTCACGAGCGGATAGGTAACAATTTGAATGCGGTATGACGCTTTCAGGCTTTTGATAACGACGAGCTAGTCGAAACGTCAAGCCCAATAAAGATTCCATCGTACAAAACCTGTGTGGCACAAAAAGATTACACAACTGTAAAACGTTAGTATTTTCTACTTTTTAACAATATAGGCTCGGTAAAGATAATGGCAAGTAGAATGAATTTATTTCGATAATGATCACTTATTCCATCCAATAGTTCTCCTCTTCGATCGAAGTGAATGATGAACCATTTTTCTACAGCTCTGATCATTCATTACGGTACGAGACTTGGCAGGTGTCGGACACCCACTGGGAGCCAGGTGGCAGATGGCGACGAGAATGAACTGCGTTTCGGACCGCAACGATCACTGTACATATGAGTTTGCAATCCTTTGTGGTCCTACCCGACTGAGTCGCTGCAGTGCAGAAGACGTTCAGTCCTCCTCCTCGGTCAGGTCAGCAGACTGTGCGATCGTTGAAGCCTGGGTTTAGGCTTAGGCTCTGGCTTTCTCTTACACATGGCTTATGCTTAAGCCTATGATTGGGCCTAGGCTTAGTCCTAGGCTTGCTTGAAGGAAATGAGTGGTGTCTTAATTTTAGGTGACCTGACCTGAAAAAGAGAACTGAAGCGCACCCCTGCAGTGCAGGCCCTTGGCCCTCTCGAAAAGCTTATTTGGCTTAACAATATTCGTAGCTCTGGCCAAGATTCATTTTGTATGATTTCCTCGATTCTGATGCAGAAGAGATGGTACAAGCCCGAAAGTGAGCTTAGGAGTGTTGTGACTGAGATTCCTTCGACCAGGCTGCTTGTTCGGATATCCTTCATTGACGGGATCAGGGCCAGCATATGGGTGTGAAAGCGAGTGGCAGATGGTCATCTGCGCTGCCATGCCTTTCGGCTGTACCAAACAGCTGTACCAAAAAGGCCGTAAATATCTCCTTGCAACTTAACCGTGAATCATTTTGAGGAACACTCATTCTGTGTGAATCATTTCGTTGTTCACGTCCGGCTATGCGGAAGTTCAGACCAAGGACGATGTTGAAGAAGAAAATTTGATAGCACTCTTTAAGTTTTTCAGGGTCATCTGGGTTCAAAAATCAGAAACCTGTAACTCGTTAAGAAAAAGCCTAGAGGATGCTCTAGAAAAATTCAGTTAGTAAGGCTAAACGTACGTGAAAAGCTGAGTTGGGATGAAATGGTGCCCCGGTAGCGTAACTGGTAGCGCACTTGCCCGGAAAGCGAGAGGTGCGGGTTCTAGTCCCGCCTGGGGCGAAAGTTTTGTTCACAACCCAGCATTCTTGTAAACGTAACGTCAGACGTCACTTCTATGTGAACAGATCTAGCTTGGAATATACTATGTGGGCTGCTTATATCTTGTATTTCAGTGATAAATTCAGTTCATTCAGGAAACTCTAGCAAAGATCCGCAAATGTTCCTGGCATTGTTTGTCATGTTTTGTTTTTTTTGTTGAGCTTTTTCTTGGCTTCTATTTACTCAGCAAGGGTGTAGAGCTGTGTAATAAACAAGTACAATTACAATATTCGGCCAAAAACGCTCCCATGGTCACAGCCATTCGAACTGATTGCTGGTGATTGAAAAAGGCTGGAAAAACCGCACGGAAAAGGTGCTGAAGATGCGACCATAAAAGAGGGAGAAAAGAAATTTTACCTTCCTTAAAATATTGTTTGTAGTCCGGTGTCTTCTCATTGTCAGCAGAAGATCGTGTTTTAAGTGTCGTTTCTCCACCAAACACCTGATCATAAAACTGCCACCACAGCTTATAATGGCTTCACTTAGTGCTTCTACGTATACAAGATTTATGGCTAACCTTCCAGTGCATCGAAAAACTAGGCTTAACGCACTTGCCAGAGGTGCCTAATCGTATTACGATCGCAGATTCCAGTCATACATATTATAGTGATTCACCCCTTAGGAGTCGTCCATTTGAAGGGAAACCCATTAGCTCCGGTATCACCTTTCCTTCTCTAGCTATTGGGTAGGAAATATACAAACCTGGACGCTACCGCAAGACACAGGGTCA